TATCCGAGACTGAGGACCTGGAAGGGGTGTTTGATGGAAAGGGCTCTCAGTGGGTGGAGTGGAGTCAGGGCTGGGGGCTGCAGTTCCAGTAGCTCCTTGAGTCTGGAGCAGGGAGGGCAAGACTCTCAGAGGCTGGGAATTCAGGGTAAAGGCACTGCTGGGTGTATATATACAGAGAGAAGTATGTCTACTCACTGGCCCAGCATGCCTGCTGCTATTGTCCCCATTTGGACCACTGTAAGGTATCCTATCTTTACCCCTTTGAAGGCAGATCCTGAGAGAGAGGCTAAGTTCCTGCTGAGCCCTCTCTTCTGCCTGATTGTCTGCCACACCAAAGGTCTCCTTTCTAGTCACGACACTTGGACAGAGCCCAGTTGCACTGGGACAGAGAAATGAGACCTTGATGGAAGAAGGGCTCTGTGCCCTCAAGGCTCATTTTGGTTTCCATGGAAACAAGTCGGATGTGGTACTCACCAGTTGGGGTCTTAAAGCTACAGATATCTATCTTATCTAGAGAATCTCATCACATAACAAATACCCTTCAGCATATAAAATATAAAATTAGATTTATTTTTTTATGCCTGCATGTATGTCTGTGTACTATCGGTGTGCCTGGTGCCTGAGGAGGCCAGAAGAATGCAGATTCCTGGGACCGGAGCTATCATGTGAGTGCTGAGAATTGAACCTAGGTCCTCTGGAAGAGCAGTCAGTGCTCTTAAACACAGAGAAATCTCTCCAGTCTTCTCAATAATTTTTTTTAAGATTTATTTATTTATTGTGTATATAGTGTTCTGACTGCATGTATCCTTGCTTGCCAGAAGTGGGCACCAGATCTCATTATAGATGGTTGTGAGCCACCATGTGGTTGCTGGGAATTGAACTCAGGGCCTTTGGAAGGGCAGCCAGTGCTCTTAACCACTGAGCCATCTCTCCAGCCCCCCAGGAATAATTTTTAACACAGACTTTACTTCATTGCTCTGAGGATTTTGACCAAGGTTTGTTGATTCCAAGTTGCAGCTCCCATTCCTCAGAATTCTTCCTCCTCCTCTTCTGTTGTCTTCTCTTGGAATAGTATCTTAGTGGGCACCAGGCTGGCCTCCACTCTGTCTTGTATCTGAGAATGTAGAGAATGACCTTGAACACTTGTGCCTTCCACCTCCACGTCCTGTGTGCTGGGACTACACTGAGTCACCATCCCTGGTGCTGGGGATGGAACCAGGGTTCATTCATGCTACCGGTCTGAGTTAAACTAGCCACAGAATTCTCTCCCTCCAACCCTCTGCTCCATTTCCCCTTCCTTGGTTCATTCTTTCTCCCTTTCTTCACTTCCTTCCTTCCTTCCTTCCTTCCTTCCTTCCTTCCTTCCTTCCTTCCTTCCTTCCTTCCATGACTTTCCAGCTTTGTGGAAAATGTTCATGGCAGTCAGGCTAAGGATTCTGAACGGATTTATGACATTTACTAGATTTTTACACAGTTATGTCTAATTCATTAAAGTTTATTTCTGAAGGCTTGGAAGGAAATTCTGTTCCCAACTAGGGAATTGTAACTAATTAATTGTAATGTAATTGTAATTAAAAGGGCAGAGGTAAGCAGAGGCTTGGCGGGCTGATGGAGACTCCAGTTCCATGGAGAAAGCACGTGCTCTGACTTCAGACCCCTCCGCAGAGCTGCCTAGATCTCCCCTCTCTTTTTCTTTTCTTTCTTTAGACTTAGTCCCACTTGGCCCAGGCTGACCTTGAACTCCCCAGTACCTACAGGTGACCTTGAACTGCTATCCTGCTTCTCCTTCCAAATCCTTGGATCACAGACCAGACACTTGAGTCTCTGTGGTGTCAGGGACCGACTTGGGGCTTTAGCAGCTGAGCTATAAACCCAGGCTCCCTCATTCATCTTCAGACAAGTCCTGACTGTGTATATTGGGAACAGGGAAAAGGTACCTTGTCCTAAGCGCTGCCATTTTGACTTCAGATCCCATTGTACCTGTAGGGTGAAACAAAGTTCAGGTTCCCAAAACTTAGGGGAGCTAGAGACCTTCCAAAAGTTGACCCACCTCCACCCTAAACATAGAAACAGTCCTTGCCGACCTTTAGTTCTCTAGAAACCTCATGGCTGTACCTAACAACAGAAAGAACAAATGAATCTGATTGGTTGGACTGAAAACCTGGCATTGTATGTCCGTTTATGATGGTGGAACATTCAAGTAATATTAATCTCTAAATCCTGATTGGTGAAAATTGTAAGTGTAACTTGGCAACAAATGTTTATGATTTTTGTACTTAAATACTGGCTTCAACTGACATTCGGGTCACAGTTTAACTCCCGAGTCTGTTCTGTGGCCCTGATCCATCAGCCTCCTCCCCTTCTCCCTTCTTTTCTTCTGCCCTACATTAAAAGGTGCCCGCGGTAACCTCTGTGTCTGCTGGGGTTGATTCGGAGCCCTGGACCACAGCACACAGTCCTGGCTAGCCTGGGACCCCCCATCCTCCTCCTTTAGCTTCACACAAGCAGACTTACAGGCGCACAGCGCCACGCCGGACTCTGCAAACGTTTCCCAGCTACTTGGTGAACACAAGATTGGCTCTTCCCTAGGTTTCACAGGACCAAGGCTCTCTGAATCTTTGGTATTAAATCCTAACAAGAAGGGAGTCCTTGGAAAAACAGAACTTTGCCTGGTAGATGATTCTGTAGGAATGATAGGAGGAAATGTTATTTGCAGAAAGCCCACCAGTAGTAACACCAGAAGGGAAGGAAAAAGGAAACTGGAGTAAAGATGACTACCTTTACCAGACTTCGAAGCCAGGGAGATCCACAACTGTTGTCTTGTGAGGATGACTCCTTCAGAGATGCTGATGTTGCGTGTCTTGTCCCACCAGAGCAAACGACAGCAGCACAGAGCTCTCCACGTGATGGATACTTGTACAATTGTCGACTGGAAGACTTCCCAATGCTCCCTACAGCTTAAAGCTTCTTCAGCCTCACCAGAACCCATCTGAGGACTAAGCCTTACCCCATGGACCTCGGAGGGGCATTGCTGACCCACTTTCTGGCTGGGCAGGTGCAGAGAGAGCATGGGCACACCGGATAAAGGAATGGTTTGTACTCGTGCAGAACAGATTGTGGCGGTGTAAGAGTTCATCACGCTCTTTAGAAGGGTATGTGATTAAACCATGAATTGTTTATTGCATGTGATGGTTTTGGACGTTCTTTAGAAGGGTATGCAATTAAACCATGAATTGTTTATTGCATGTGATGTTTTGGACGCTCTTTATTTTTTTTTAAAGATTTATTTATTTATTATGTATACAACATTCTGCCTCCATGTATGCCCGCACGCCAGAGGAGGGCGCCAGACCTCAGTACAGATGGTTGTGAGCCACCATGTGGTTGCTGGGAATTGAACTCAGGACCTCTGGAAGAGCAGCCAGTGCTCTTAACCTCTGATCCATCTCTCCAGCCCCCCTTGGACGCTCTTTAGAAGGGTATGCGATAACCATGAATTGTTTATTGCATGTGATCCTTTTGGACTTTAGTTGACTGCAGAAAGGGAGGACAACTAAGTCTCGACTTGCCCATCCTTTCTAGACCCCTGCACCTAGCAGGCATCTCTAGCACTTTCCTCCTCAGTAACTGGCCCATTCTCTCATCTCCAAAGGCTCACCAGAATCTACGCTGGCCCCTCTGTCCATTCATTCTCCCCTGGTTTTTGAGTAACAGTTTCCTAGAGCAGATCCTGGTGTCGCTGGTGAAATGTAACTTAAAACCTTCTTCCCCCTCCCTCTATTTTTTTCAGCAAAGCCTACACCTTTTCCTTTGTCTTCTCCAGCCTACTCCACCTCATCCCATGCTCGTGTAGTTTCCTTTGCTCAGGAGGTCCCAGGGGCAGGGCTTGTTTTGATTTTCGAGAGCTCTCCAGGCCCATTCCAACCCAATCATCACCTCTGTTCCAGCTGCTCTTCAGGCATTGTCATGGTAAAACACCTGGGTATAAAATAGTTCTTTGCTGCGGAAATGAAGGAGACACAGTCTCTGTTAGAGACGTTGAGACTTCTCTTTGGGAGCAGGTGCCTTTTGACATCATCATCATCATCGTTGTCGTCATCATCGTCGCCATCATTGTCACCATCAGTGAGATACTGGAGAGTGAGCACAGCACCTCACAAAGACCCAATTGTTTTTATACCGGAATATGCAGGGGAGGAAGCAAAAGGTGTCAGAGGACCTGGCCTAGTTTGCCTGCTCACCCTCTGCCTGAGGTTGCAGAGGCCTGTTATCTAGAGGGAAGATAAGCCTGGGCCTTGTCTGGAGGATCCAAGTCTCTTTTCTGCCTCACAGACTGGTCAGTGCCTGCCACCAGAGACTGGACTCTCTCTAGCTTGAACCTAGTCTCTCCAAGAGGCTGTTTGATTGCTATTCAGTGAGCACTCATTGGTGTTCTCACTGGTTGATGGTCCTGGTGGTCTTTTGCTTTCTTGGGAACAAAATTCAGAAGATCAGGAAGTTGCAGACCTGGCAAGGGCGTTAGTGACATGCCCTGAAATCATGGGCCCTGCTTCCTATGCACCCAGTAAATAGGCACCGACTCTAACTTAACTTTAGGGGACAACATTATTTCCCCAATTTTCTAGTTTATCCGTTGCTTTGATAACAAGTGGCTCAAAAACTTGGGTGGTTTTCTGTGAGCTGTCAGAGCTATCCAGAGCGAGACGGTATGATAGGATGGATGGGTAGATGGATGACTGGGTCAGCAGGCGGGTGCATGGGTGGACCCATGATGGCTGACTGGTTGGGAATCTAGGAGGTGGACCGAAGACCGAAGAGGGACCCCTTCCCCTCTTCCCACCTGTCTGCTTCTCCTTAGCATGTTCTCTTGCGGAGCACTGAAGGAGGGACTTGCAGCGGGGCGGTGGGAGAGGCGAGGTTGGGGGGAGCTGGGGAAGGAGAGTGGAGAGGAGGAGGAGGAGGGCCTTGGAGGCGGAGAGGAGGGGCGGCGAGCGCCCGGGGAGCCTGGTGCTGGTAGCGGCTCTGGCGGTTAGGGGACCAATGTCGCTGCCGCTGCGGCCGCCTCCTCGCGGGCCGGAGCTGCGTCGCCCGGGCTGAGCTGCAGCCGCAAGCCGCAAGCCGAGCGGCCGCCGGGCTCGCCCGCAACACAGGAGGATGGGTTGCGGCGGGAGCCGGGCTGATGCCATCGAGCCCCGCTACTACGAGAGCTGGACCCGGGAGACCGAGTCCACATGGCTCACCTACACCGACTCGGATGCTCTGCCCAGCGCCGCCGCCCCGGACAGCGGTCCCGAGGCGGGCGGCCTGCACGCGGGTGAGTGAGCCCCGCGCCCGCGAGGCCCGGCTGCCCGCAATCAGCTAGAGCTGCAGGGGATCCCAGGGCAGCCAGGAACCCCATGGCGTGCTTGCGGGTGGGGTGACAGAGGGACAGAATAGGACCTGCTGGCTGACCAGCTGCCAGAATGGAGCCCAGGGAGCCAGGTCAAGAACAGCTTCCCAGAGGACTGAGCTACCTACCACCTCTCTGCATCCTTTTGATCCAGCGCTTCTTGGCCTCAGCCAGCCAGTGCATATGCATTGGCCCGGGCGTGGGAGGGCGGGATAGGAGGACAGCCCACTTCACCCGCAAACCTAACCCTCAGCTCACCCCTCGTTTCCCACCTGAGCCGGTGGGCCTTTACCCAGCCTTGGTCCAGCTTCCCTTCTGGCCATCTCTGTACTCAATTGGGTAATTCTCCATGCCCTGGGTTATTTGGCCCTCACATCTTTGATGTATGGACAAGAATCTTGAGCAGAATGGTCGGGGTAGAGCCTTCCTGTCTCCTCCTCCATCCCCCCTTGTTGGGAATGAGCCCCGTGGCTGGGCTTCAAAATCCTAACCCAGTTCAGGGCACCAGTCATGCCTGCCCACCACCAGTGTGGCTCTCCAGCTCCCTTGCCAAGTAGTTATGTCATAGTGAAGGACTTCTCTCCTATCCCAAGATGCTTGAACGCTCTCTGTAAAGCAAGACATAACCGGTTTCAACTATACAAATGCTCACCTAGGTCATTCGTCAGACAGCAGAAATCCCATGAGGGTGTGCAGATGTTGGGAGCAGTGAGACCCCAGATCCTGAATTTCTTGTTTTCCCCTGACCTGAGTGCCCACAGCTGCTCTGAGCACGAGACCTTCAGGAGTTCCTGATGGCAGGAGAGTGGTTTCTGGTGGGTTTGGCTGGGGCGTGGCTATCTCTATATAATCTGCCCCTGTACACAATAAAGGGGGCATTCTTGGGGCTTTCTGAACCAGCGTTTGGAGGTCCGTGTGTAGGTCTGTCTCTGCGTCTATGTATTATCAACCTCCAGCCCCCTTTCCCGAAGCTCGAGAACTGGGTAATAGAGCACAGAGCACAAGGGGGCGCGGTGTGCGGCATGCAGAGACGTTTCTGGTCTAGCCATGAGTCAGGATTTGAGTTTAAAGCAGACACTCACACACACATTGCCGAGGTAGATACTGTTGAGGTAGACGGACCTTTGACCCTAAATGTGTTGGTGACGTCACAAGGAGAAACCAATGAAACCTTACCTCTTGTTACATAGATCAATATTTGGGTTTTTAAAGTTCTGTTGCCTGATCTCATTGCGCTGCGTTACTTTATAATCTTGGGAATCAACATTCCCTTTAGTCCGAGCAATTGCTCCTTTTATTTTCTTAAGGACACCAGATCTGGCTATATTGTCCAGACTGACTCTGAGCTCCTGGGCTCAAATATTCTTCCTCCCCCCAGTGCCCGTCCTCCATAGTTGGGAGCCAGGTATGAGCCTCCTCGGCTTGCCTGGGGAAACCGCGGTCACACTGGATTCATCTTAAAACTGCTTGAGTCCCAGCGACCACAGTGGCTATTTGGTGCTGGTGCTGCTGCTGTTGTATCCCAAAGGATGTTCTGGCTGAATTCGGTGTCAGGAGGAGAATGAGAAGAGCCTCTCTGAAGGTTCTGCAAATGTTAGCGGTGACAGCATTTCCCCAAGAAAGGGTCACCCTTCTCTGTAGAGTCCAAGGCCAGGGAAGCCCCGCCAGCAGACAACGGTCAGAAAGATTGGGCCTGGAAAAGAAGGAAGTACAGCTTCAAGGAGCAGCTGTTTGGCTGGCGCTCGCTCGGAGCACGCGTGTGTGCATGTGTGTTTGTTGTGTGGGTACAAAAGTTGCTATGGGTTGACTGAATAAGCACATACGTGTTCCTCGTATCTTTCCCAGCATTTGTTCATTATTTTCTGTTTATATATCATGAAGTCTGGTTGCTGCAAGGCGTGGGACAGGTACACTCATAGACGGAACCTTTCCAAACAGGAACAGCCTTACGAGGTCCTGAAGACAGTGCCATTCAGAGAAGGGCCTCGTTTCCAGTCCAGGGACAGTGTCCGAGACGCGCAGCAGCACTTTGATTCCCTAGCAGTGTCAATCAGAGTGGGGGGACACTTCTGAGGCTCAAGAACGAACAAGGCGTGCATGGGCCTAAGTTCCTCCCCCCCCCACTCCTGCCACGTGCCGTCCTCCATGGACCTAAGTTCCTCCCCCCACCACGTGCAGTTTATTTACTTGGTAACTACTACGTGGTGCACCTTCTGTTAGTCTCTGGACTTAGCAAGCGCAGGGCTGAACCGTGTGGTGACTACACATCGTACGCATCTTAGCTTTCTACCTCTGCACGTGGAATTGCACTGGAGCAGCTCAGAGCAGCTCACGTTGCTGACGTTGTCCCCGTGGTTGGAACAGGCCGTTCCTTGGCTAGATCTTTGCTTAGGGTCCCGACATTTCAGACAAGGTAGCGTCAGGCTGTGCTCCTTTTTTTTATTGTTAATTGATTTTTTTTTCCCAGCCCAATCATGGGTTTCCCCTCCTCCCAGTCCCCTTCCCGTGGGCTCCTCCTTTCTCTTTGAAAAGGACACGCCTCCCATGGATGGAGGTCAACCATGATACAGGAAACTTGCAGCGAGACTAGGCTTCTCTTCCACAAGGCTGGATGAGGAGGAAAGGGTCCCAAAAGCAGGCAACAGAGCCAGAGACAGCCCCTGCGGCCACTGTTAGGAGTCCCCCAAGAGGACCAAGCTACACAACTGTAACATGTATACAGAGGGCCAAAGTCAGTCCCAAGCAGGGTTCCTGGATGTGGGTTCAATCTCTGTGAGCCCCTATGAGCCCAGGTTAGTTGATTCTGTGGGTTTTCTTGTGGTGCCCTTGACCCCTTTGGCTCCTATAATCATTTCTCCCCTCTTCTGCAGGCTTCTCCAAGCTCCCCCTAATTTGTTTGGCTATGGGACTATGCATCTGTTGCTATCAATTGCTGGGTGAAGCCTCTGATGGCAAGTGAACTAGGTAGCAACCTATGAGTATAGCAGAACACCTGGTCTCTAGGTTGTCCAGTCTCTGGGTCCTGGCCCTCCAGGCAGTGTCAGGGATGGGCTCCCTCTCACAGTATGGGTCTGAAGCTGGACCAGTTGTTGGTTGGCCATTTCCATAATTTTTGGGCCACCTTTGTCCTGGCTTAACTTGTAGGCAGGGCCAATTGTAGGCCGGAGGTTGTATGGGCCTAACTTTTATGGGGTGCACCGGTACTGGTGGGGACCAAAGGGGCTTGTTTGCTGTGGTTTCGCAGGCTGGAAACACTCATCTTGGGTCAGCTTGGGTCATATGAGAAAGTTACAAACCTGCTGGGTTTCTGCCACCCTGGGCCAGGACTCTCCATTCTTCTGTTCCTCCCAGCCCCCTAGCCCCCCACCCATTTCATCTTTCGTGTCCCCATGTGTGAACCCAACCCCATGGCTTATGGTGCCTGTGCTGTGTAGGGGACCAGAATGCCAGTCTTTGTAATAATCCATTTCTGACGGAGGCAGGCAGATGGAAGAGCTGGATTTAAGGCAGTGCAGGTTGTAAACCAACCGAGATGCCTTTGCTCTAGGACAGAGCTGGAGAGGACCCTAGAGGTCATCTGTCCAGGGCCAGTGGACTTTCTAGGATGGAGCTGGAGAGGACCCTAGAGGTCATTTGTCCAGGCCCAATGGACTTTCAGATCAATTGTCCTCATCTGGAAACTCCCTCAACCGTGTACCTTCAGTTCCTCAGTTTTCCAAAAACCTCTCTTCCCGGGGTCCTGGTTCCTCTTCCTTAGTGTCCAGTGGGTGCCACCTTTCTCTTGGTGACCTTAACCCCTCTCTGTCTTCCACATCTAGGGGATATGTGACACAAAGCTGGGCTCCATGAAGGTTCTCTCCAGAAGGCTGAGCACCAACCGATAGAGGTTTTCTCTGAACGAGCAGCACGCGGTCCACCCTGCCCCTCAGTTGCCGCAGCTGTCCTGCATTTTCTCTTTCTCTCCTTTCTTGTAGTTCTTGCAGCTGGACATCCCCCAGCCTGAGTCAGCTTATGGAAGTTCTCCCGGGTGTCTTTCTGACCCCACAGCTTCTGTTAAGAAAGTCTCTCACCCAACTTTAACCCTTCCCTGGAAACTTCCGGCCCAGGCTAAAGATTCCATAGGCTCCCCACATCCTGATTCCACAACCCTGTCTGCTGAGCGGCTCCATTCCAGCACAGGGGCCTTAGACTCTTGCTCAGCTCCCACCCACCTTCCAGACTGAGGGCGTGCCATCTGACAAGCGTTCTGCGGATTTGTGCAAGGGTTCCGCGTGGGTGGTGGGAGGCTTATTTTTATGCCAGTTCCACAACTGAGTTTCTTGCCCCCCCCCCCATTCCTCTCACGTACAACTGATCCTGAGGTTCTATTTCCTGCTTTTGGAGGTTGTTTCCAGCAGCCAGCAGAATGCAATCAAGTTTTCAGATCCTGCTGGTCAGGAGGTTGGGATCGAAGACCTAGCTGAAGCTGCAGCAGCTGGAGGTGCCCTTCCCTGGCCCGTATTTCCAAACTTATTGCAGAAGGAGCTGGTCTGGCATGGATTGCGTCTCCTAAGCTCTGTCTGCTGGACTGGACTGGTTGTTTTGTTGTACTTCTGTTGTGGGAGGGGGACTCTCCCAGGAGAGTCTGAGGTCGCCACAACCCGCCCAGTGCAGCTGTCCATCCACTGATGCCCCCTAGTCCCTTTGCCATTCCATTGTCGGTCTCTCCTGAAAACTGCAAGTGTTGCCCGTACATTTTTTTCTAATCTATTTAGCGAGTAAAACACCTCAAGTTTTTCTCAAGTAGTTCTTTATAGGTTTAAATAATTGTGTTGGTATATAGATGGCACTTTGGAGAGCTGGGGCATGATTTCCCTAAATGAGCTGTAAGACAGTGAAGGTATTTAGTATTATCTTTAGCTACCATTTGCTGACGGCTTCTGAAG